CGCCGCCGCCGCCGCCGCCGAGGGCCCGAGCACCTCTGGGATGGCCACAGCCGCCGAGACCCCGAGCACCTCTGGGATGCTCACCATTGCTGAGGGCCCGAGTATCTCTGAGATGGCTGCTGCCGCAGAGTGCCCAAGCACCTCTGGGATGGCTGCTGCCGCAGAGTGCCCAAGCACCTCTGGGATGGCCGCCGCCGCTGCTGGCCCGAGCACCTCTGGGATGGCCGCCGCCGCTGACGGCCCGAGCACCTCTGGTATGCTCGCTGCTTCTGCGAACCCTGCTCCAGTATTGAGCTTGGGTGCTTCTGTGGGCCCGACCTCCTCCAAGTGCCCTATTGCTTTGCCAAGCTCCTGCGTCGCCAGGTCCTCCTCGGACTCTAAGCGCCCCAAGGGTGCGGAAGGCCCCATGGAATTCCAGGTCCTCAGAGACCGCGAGAACTCCAACTCCATTACAATTATGGGCCTTGGCACTACCCAGGTAGCGCTAACCCTGAAGCCCCAGGATCCTATGGAGCAGAATGTAGCTGAGTTGTTACAGTTTCTGCTGGTGAAGGATCAGAGCAAGTACCCTATCCGGGAATCCGAAATGCGGCAATATATTGTCAAAGAATATCGCAGCCAGTTCCCTGAGATCCTCAGGCGAGCAGCAGCCCACCTGGAGTGCATTTTTAGATTTGAATTGAGGGAGCTTGATCCTGAAGAGCGCACATATATCCTGCTCAACAAGCTGGGGCCTGTGCCCTTTGAAGGACTGGAAGAGAACCCAAATGGGCCAAAGATGGGCCTCCTGATGATGATCCTAGGACAAATCCTCCTGAATGGCAACCAAGCCAAGGAAGCTGAGATTTGGGAAATGCTCTGGAGGATGGGGGTGCAGCGAGAGAGGAGGCTTTCCATTTTTGGGAACCCAAAGAGACTTCTGTCTGTAGAGTTTGTATGGCAGCGGTACTTGGACTACAGGCCAATAACTGACCGTACCCCAGTGGAATACGAATTTTTCTGGGGACCAAGATCCCACATAGAAACCAGCAAGATGAAGATTCTGAAGTTCATGGCTAAGATCTATAACAAAGATCCTTCCGACTGGCCAGAGCCATACAATGAGGCTCTGGAAGAAGAGGCTGCTAGAGCCTATGCTGAGGGTTGGCAAGCTCTCCCTCCCTTTAGGAGGCCCTTTTTTGAAGAAGCTGCAGAGGTAGCATCTCCTGATTTTGATGTTTCTGCCTATCCCTCAAAATATCCTCCACATTCATGGCCTGAGTCAAGAATGGAGAGCAAGTCAAGGAAGTTGGTGCAGTTATTTCTGCTGATGGATTCGACTAAGCTGCCTATACCAAAGAAAGGAATTCTGTACTACATTGGCCGAGAGTGCAGCAAAGTATTCCCTGACCTCCTGAATCGTGCTGCTCGCACCCTGAACCACGTGTATGGGACAGAGCTAGTGGTTCTCGATCCAAGAAACCACTCCTATACCCTGTACAACCGAAGAGAAATGGAAGATACTGAAGAGATTGTAGATAGTCCAAATAGGCCTGGCAACAACTTCTTGATGCAGGTTCTGAGCTTCATCTTTATAATGGGCAACCATGCTAGGGAGTCTGCAGTGTGGGCCTTTCTGCGGGGCTTAGGGGTTCAAGCTGGGAGAAAGCATGTGATTACCTGTAGGTATTTGAGTCAGCGCTACATAGACAGTTTACGGGTTCCCGACAGTGATCCAGTACAATATGAGTTTGTATGGGGCCCTAGAGCCCGCTTGGAAACCTCCAAGATGAAAGCGCTGCGCTATGTGGCCAGAATCCACAGAAAGGAGCCACAGGACTGGCCAGAGCAGTACAGGGAGGCAATGGAAGATGAGGCCAATAGAGCTGATGCTGGTCACAGGCAATTCCTTGTTCACAACTTCAGATAGAGGAGTATGTGGCAGTCAGAGAGGCCTTGCAAGGCCGGGCCCTAGAGCCCTATGCCTCATGTATTGGGTGTGGGGGGGTATGTATTGTATTTGTATTTGTGTTCCAGTTCCATTTATGTCTTTTCATATTTAGTTCTTGTTTGGTATCTTGAAATGTTTCAATTGTTTTAATATATTGTCCAGTAGGGTAAATGTGATTGACTACTTGCTGTCTCTGTTGTATTTTGGTATAAGAGTTTTGATAGTGTTATAAAATGTTTTGGGAATCTTTCCATCTTGTTGCATTATCTGGAAGAGAATATATAGCATATAGCTATAGATATAGGCTTTTCCTTGAAAGCTTGAAAAAAATTCACCAGTAAAGTGATCCAGCTTCTGATGTTAAACAAACAAGCAAATATATCAACAACTGAAAAAGCACTCTAAGTTATGGCTGGCCTCCCTTTCTGTCTGCTATTGTGTAAAGAATACCAATGTTTACCTGTATTTGCTTTGCTGTACTAAAATGTAATGAAAAATAAAAGTGTAATAAATAAAACATAATGCTAATGCATTATTTATTCCACAAACATTTATTAAATTTCTTTCATGCAATGAGCACAGTGTTATTATTTTGGTTATACAAGTATACAAATATACAAGATATAACATCACTCTGAAACTCAGGGACTGGGATGTAGGGGGTGGTCACTTAAATCAGTAATTTTATTATGGAGCACCAAGTATTCTATGAGAGTTAAGAGGAGGTATACCTAACTTAATCCCTGGGATGTTCAGAGTGGTCCTTGGAGAAGATGATGGCTGTGTGGGGGATGAGGGGGGGCAAGATTGGGTCCCTAATACAATCATGAGATGAACTGCTTCAAAGCTGGATTTCAGTCCTCATGATTGCTTATAGGAAATTAAGTCAAATATTTAAGGGCAAAGGGTGAGAGGTTTTATATATCATAAACCATCCCATTAAGACATATGAATCAGCTTTCTGTAAGTTATACTGTAGTTCTTAATCTCCAAATCCTAGTGGTATACAACAATTATTTGGGGGCTCATTTTATCTATTCTTCATGGGTTGCATTTGATTCTGTTTATTTTGTCTTCAATCAGGTAACCAAGCTAAAGGAGTAGCCCATATAGTAGGAAACCATGTGATAGTTCTTAAAGCAGATGCTCATACATATTATACTCATAATCCATTGGCAACAGCAAGTCACATAACCAAGCTTGTTCTCAAGGGGGTGGGAAGTGTACTCCCACCAAGGAGTAGGGATGGGCCTAGTAAAAGAACAACATATATTTTAAAAATTCAGTACCATATAAAAATTTTGCTTTTGCTATGGCTGAGATGGGAAACTATTAAACTATTAAACTATTAAAGGATTTTTATCTGAATAATGGAAGGATACAACTTAGTTTTGACAGAATTACATTGACTCTTGTATTGAAAATCTAAAGTGGGGCAGAAAATCTAAAGGAGGGCAGAAGCTATAATTTTAGAATAGCAGTTCCTTCTTAATGTTATTATGAAAAGAAGTGTTATTTTTCAAACAAAATTGAGTTGAAATGAATTGAAGTCAGGAAGCCTGTTACCTTTGAAAAAAACACTTCAGAAATCAAACTCCAGGAATATCAAGTTTAAAAGGCATAGCATAGTGTTCTAGAGTCATAGTGCCTGGATATAAACCCTGACTCTCTGATAATTACTAGATGTGAGACCTTAGGAAAGTCACTCAATCTCTTTGTGCTTCAGGATCCTTGTCTGTAAAATGGTCATAATAATTTTATTTAATTATAAATTAAATAAATCACAACTAATGTTGTGAGGATTAAATATGTTAACATATAAAACCCAGGACTTAACATATATTTAGCAATATAGAGGTGATGTTGCAAGTTGATTTTTCTGGGAATGAGGCTGTGAAGTGGATATTCTCCTGACAAAAATTTTACTGGGGACTGGTTTTGCATTCAACACCTAGGGGGAAACAAAGGAAGCAAAAATATTAGAGAGAGAAAAGCTGAGCAGTGACAGTGTCACAACAAATAATTTAGTTGATTCCACAGGCAGTTTTTAGGTTGGAATGGCCTTGCAGAGTTGTTCCAAATTAGGAAAAGGGGGCCACAATTTTATAATCCCTAGACTGACCAGTCACTTGCAGAATGCAGGCTGTCTCCTGGGAAGGGGCTATGGAAAAGTCAGTTATTTTCAGCCACAAGTAATATGTGAGAAATATATTCAACTATAAACACAGCAGTGGTAAACACCCTCAAGAACTGGAGGAATGAGCACTTCAGTCCTGAACAGTAAGGGCGTCTGGTGGTACATCACAATATCCATGATGGTTGTTGCTTTCTTTTTCTTCCCCTTCATTCTCTGTAATTCTTCTTCTTGTTGTTATTATTCCTGCTGTTTTTGTTTTCATTCAAAAAGGTGAAATATTTTCTCATCATTCTCCCTGGAATATAGCACCCACATCACTGAGTCACTGTATTTTTGGTACAACCTTCCTTTTTTTAAAAGAGGCTTTTAATAATAAAGCTTCTTTTTACCTCGTAAGTTCTATGTCAGTTTTTTTTTTTTTCATGTTTCTTGTAGATTTTGTCTTTGTCAAGTTTTTCCCAGGAGATGTTACCTAAGTAAGTCTCTCAATAGGTTTTTTTTTTTTTTTTTTGCTATTTAAATCTTGAGAAATACCTTGATTTCAGATAAATTTGATCAATATGTACAAATATTCAGAATATCCCTCTAAGGACAACCAAGGTAGAAAATATAGTCTTTCATGTTTTTCTCTTAGAAATTACAATTTTGGACACAGATAAAATATCTGATTAAATATGCAAGATTTAAAGAAAGAAAAATTACTATCCTGAAATAATTATAAAATTGAAGTATCTATTTTAGCAGAGGATTAGTTGAGTAAGGTGTTTGCAAGTTAAAACTGTGTGTTTGTGTGTGTACAAAATATTTGGAACAATTTACATTTTCATATGTGTTAATTAACATTCTGTTACCATAACAAAATACCTGAGATAATCAAATTAAAAAGAAATGGGGTTTATTTTGGCTCACAGTTTTGGAGGTTTCAGTCCATGGACAGTTGGCCTGAAGCTTTGGGGTCTGTGGCAAGGCAGTATGTCATGATGGAATTGCATGGTGAAGGAAGCCTATTCACCTTATGACCGGAACAAGACAGAGACCAGTATCTCACAATTTTCTACAAAAGCATGCCCCCAGTGACCTAAGACATCTCACTAGGCCCCACCTTTTAATGGTTTCACCACCACCCCCAGCAAAAAAAAAAAAAAAGCTCCATGGGCTGAGAACAAGGTTTTTAACATATAGACCTTTGGGGGACATTTCAGATTCAAACAACAGAATCAATTATTTCCTGTTTTGCCACTGTATTCAAACCCATTTATAGACACATAATTATGTGTCTATATAAAAATAAAAACAATGCTCAAGCAAGATCTACTTTACTTATAAACAACCCAATCCTTGAAAATAGTGACATTTTAATAGAAAATACTCTTACTGAATGTAAAGCATTTAATCAGATATTCATAAAGGAAAAAAACACACACACAGTAGCACAAACAAAATGCAAATATTGTACAATGTTCAAGTTAATGAAACTGAATAATAATTAAAATTATCTTTAAAATATGCAGTCATTTATTCTAAATAGAAATATTTAGAAACAAGTACTATAAAATTAATAAGCATGTCTTACAATTTCTATTACTCTCTTGAAGGAAAACTCCCAAAAGGATCCCAAAGACTTATGTCTTTGTCAAGTTGTTCCCAGGAGATGTTACCTGAGCAAGTCTCTTAACAGGAAAGGAAACAGTTGATTAAAAAACCGTTACTAATGAGGACAGGGTGTGTAGCTCAGTGGTATAGTACTTGCCTAGCATGCGTAAGGCTCTGGGTTTAGTTCCTAGAAACACACACACACATACACACACAGAGACTGAAACAACCATTATGATGAAAGTAATGTCAATTTAAGGCAATCATTAATAGATCCTAAAGATCATAATTGTCCTGATACCAAACTTGGAATTTTATGTAAACTGTTGCTTCCAACAACTTATTTATAAAATTAAAGATATTTACTGCCCTTCTTGCTTGGTTCTCACATATCTCTGTTCAAATACATCAATTTGGATTAGGACACAAGCTTTTGTTTCACAATTCCTCATACTCAGTGGAGGGTCATGCTCTTGTGATCATATGAATGTGTGCTATTTTGTTGAAATGTGCCTCAATCATTCTGCATTAAGATAATGATCATTTGCCAGGCTGGTGGAGCATGCATGCCTATGATCTCAGCGACTCAGGAGACTGAGGCATGAGGATCAAAAGTTTGAGACCAGCCCTAAGCAACTTAGATCCTGCCTCAAAATAAAAAAATAAAATAAAATAAAAAGAGCTGGAGATGTAGCTCAGTGGTAAAACACCCTTGGGTTCAATACTACTGCCACCACTACTACTAGACCTGTGTAGTTATACCCTTGCAAAGATCATTAATTGTCTAATTGTAGTGCTCATCTATGATGGAACATAACATTTCTGAACTCCATAGCAAATGTGTCTTCTTGCTACATGAAACAGAATCACAGGTGGGACTCTATTGTCTTCTTGCTGATAAATGGCTGTATAATATTTCCCTTTATTATTATTATTATTATTTTTTGGTACCAGGGATTGAACCGGGGGCTCTTTACCACTGAGCTACATCCCCAGCCTTTTTCATTTTTATTCAGAGACAGGGTCTCACTGATTTTCTTGGGGGCCTTGCTAAGTTGCTGAGTCTAGCTTTGAACTCACAATCCTCCTGCCTCTGCCTCCCAAGCCACTGGGATTACAGGTGTGTATCACCACTCCCAGCTATAATATTTCCCTTTTTGTCAAAGAAATTACACAGCCACTTAATCTAAACTGCTGAAGTTTCAGGTTACATTCTTCAGGTGATTACTTATTTTAATGATGACTCATCAAAATTGTAAAATTTTATTTCCCCAAAGTTGAATTTGGTATACAGCTTTCAAAACTGGTGGATGAAATAGAAAGTATGATTATGGGAATGCAGAACTGTCATAGTTTGTGGGTTATTTAGATAGTATCAAAGCAGTCATTTTGAGATGAGTATAATTTTTTTCCTGAGTGAAATAGCTTTGTTCTATCTTCCTAGATTAGGGTACTTCAAAGACTGACAGTGATAAAAAGCAAGTAAGTTAATGGCAGTCACTAGATTTGGATGAAAATATGCCACATATGCTTCTGACAATAAATGTTTCAATTAATCTTAAAAAAGACAACATGTAAAGCAAGGAAACACTTAGGTCTCAGATGATAGACACAATGTAAAAACTAAAAGGTCAACAAGAAGGAAAAAAACAATAACTAAAGGATTGAAAACAGAGTAGCTAAGTATTTTATCAAGGCACTGGCTAAAGTTGAAAAACAAGTAGTACCTCTATTGCTTTTATTCTGGGAAGTGTTCTTACTGACATTCAATATTTAACTGCACTTATCT